GACCCGGATGGTGTAGTGGTGAAGTGCGCTGCTCCCCAGTAAGGACAACAGCACGTGTTCGTTCCCCACTGCATACACCTGTGGTCCGGAGTTTTGCAAATATCTCAGCACTTCATACGAGAAATAACAGCGTTCAGATCCTTGCCTACAACTGTTGTATTCTCTTCATCTCAAACGTTACATGACCGACATTTCTACTATAGGTCTTAGATGTGATGTCAATGTGTTAGTTGATCGATAGGATCACATGAGTTGTACGAAGCTTTCGTTGGTGCCAGATGTTTCGGCAGTGTGGCCGTGTTCAAAGCACTTTATTGATTATAGTTAAGTGTCCACCGAGTCTTCCCAACAGTTTACCGCCTCATCATGACTGGGAGATGTTCCTGGGTGCTGGGTTGCGATGTACAGGGAGACTCATCCACCTGGCACTGTCTCCCAAGCTGATAAGGAGTCCGGCGTTTCCATCAGGAAACCTATCAGGAAAAAAAAAGAGCAAACCAATACCAAGATCCACCCGCGTCCTTGTGTCAAAATCGCATGATGGTAAATCTCCCTCTGATCCGCAAGGGCTGCGACTGCCTGTCGTGGTGATGACCTGAGGCAGACTTTGGCCTGGCTGACCTCGGCACTCCAGGGAACCACAATGCCCAAACCAGCAAATACCCGAAAAAATGGAGATGATGCTGGGTCTGCACAGCCATTGAAGATGTACCATCCAAATATTGAAGTAAGTAAGTCCATCGAGTAGTTATTCTCGGCGATCCATACGTCTTCCGAGTCCAGTCGGAGTGAATCAAGTTGAGTGGGCAACATTTAGATGTGGATATTTGTAGAAAGTGGAATCCTCGAGATTCAATGTTTGCCAGTTGCGCGATAGAAAGCTGTCTATGGGAGATTTGAGTGATTAACGACGCAGCTTCAGATTCATCTTGCATCTCATTATTAATCAAAGCCAAAGCGCAGTTGAAAAGCTTCTCGGTGAAAAGCCGAATCGCTGCTATGAACTCTGTGAAAAAATGTGGCTGTTTCGTCTTCGTCGGTACATTAAGACAAATTCTAGCAGAAGCACTCGACACAGCTGATACCCATTCTAACCAAGCCAATCGGCTTACCTAATGGAGACTCAATGAAGACTAGAGCCATATAATCAGACAATGAGCTAATGCCTAACGTTGTTAGCAAATTTCTGATCTGTTGAATGTGAGCCAATGTTCGTTTAAGCATCGCCTTCTGGTCGTTAAAGATTCTTCGTCCAGAAAAAAATGCCAGACCAACGATAGTAATACCGCCAGGTAAGATCCTCGTCACTTTCTCAGCGTTGTAAGTAATCCATTCATCATCTAACGTTTTACTAAGCGTATCACCTACCTGATCAGTGACAGTCGTTGGCAGAGGACACGGAGCCATATGAGCTACATGTATATCTCCGTCAGAGCAGAATGACCCAACCAGAAATATGGTGCGTACGGAACACCATGTTCAGCTTCGTTCGGCTGGGAACCCTGTGTCAAATTGACCCTAGTTTCCAGAGAAATGTCGAGTACGATCATCTGCCTTCAAACTGGGGTAGTTAAAGCAAACAGCCAAACAGTCGAAGATAAGGTGGGCTGGACACATAATGCGTATGAATGACAACCGATATGGACAAGAGCCGTTAGTGACTGGATTCCTCGGATGTCAAACGTACTGCAGGAAGACCATCGACTCGATGGTCAGAGTTCTTCAGAAAGAGCCTAGAAGAAAGGTATGATGCTCGACGAGTCTCTAGAGCGAGCAGAACCCACTGTGCTACTCTTTCATGCGACAGGGAGAATGGAAGATTTACTGGCGCTCGAGTCACTCGGTGATCAACGGGACAACAGGTGATACAGGTGAAGGACGCAGTTTTAGAGTCGGCTCACATCTCGTCATCGTCACAAATTACTAGGAGAGCCCTTGAATAAAACTGGTATTCGCATAATTCGTGGTCCGTTAGTTGATCAAAGGTTTTTCTTTTTAAGGGGCTCAAACGCAGTTTACTTTTGCCCTTCTGCTTTTCTAGCCATTGTTTATGTCCTTGACGAAATACCGTGGACGCTCTAGAGATTGTTCTCGAAAAGGTGCTGATGTATTTTCACCAGAACGAAGTTTTAATACGATTTTCTCATCAATACGGATCAACTTTTCATTCATTCAAGCTCCTTCATCGTTCTCTCAAATAGCGCCATGAACATCTTTGTTGAGACGGCTTCGTTTCTAGGATCGTTTAGAATGTTGGATCAGTTCCTCCATAGTGGTTATGAGCTCTAATTAAAAACTTGAGGCGTGACACCGCTTTCTGGCCAGGAAAGTACTTCAGTGGATCTCGTGCGATGTGCTTACCAGCATTTACATGCTGAGCTTATAACAAACATTCTCTCTTACTTGAGACTAAGGCCGTTACACAACCAGTGGAGGGACAAGTTAGCGGACCGCTTTTTTTTGTAAAAAGTGAAGCACAATTGGCTTCTGTAACTACCACCTTTACCGGTTGTTTACTATAGACTTTTCGAGAAGATCGTCTTCGTTCCCTTTCCGAACAAACTGACTGAACCCCGATCTATACAGAAAGATTTGCGGTTTTGTATTTCACAAGGTATTTAGCAGCATGGATCGCTCTTGAGGGTTGTAGAGTTCCCCAGGAATATCACAGCCTTGTCCTTGACCAAGATGTGGACCTATCGTAGCTAAAACTATTGCTGACTACAACGATTATTATAAAACGATGTTGTGGCTTTTATACGGCTTTCTAACTATTCAAATTTGCGAAGGAATATGACAATACACTGGCATTATTGCCAAAGCCGTTAACTGTCACGCCGTCGATACGTTTGCAATCACTTTAGTAGGACAACGTGCCAATACATTTTGATGGATTTCCTGCTAACTAACGACGTTTGACGTTCCTTAGGAATGCCGGTAGATGCTGGCTTAGTCGATTTTTCCTGCCCGAAAGCTGTTAGAGTAGTAGCTCTGAATTCGTGCCGACTGCTACGTCCCGTCAGTCTGTAGGTGGAAATCTCCTAACGTCGGTATCTAAGTGTTAATAAATCAGTTAAACACGCACTTAATTATTTTAGCGTTCAGGTCATTATTATTCATGTACCATTCTGTTCAAACACTTCTATCCACTTTTTGCCCTGTACCGGTTGTCCGTGAAA